GGAGCCTGGCCTCCCGCCGCAGCGTCCCCACCGCGCCAGTCCCCGCTAGTGGTAGTATCTCGTAATAGCTTCTGTGTGTGAGCTACCGTGGATGCCCTTCCCTTCCATGGGGGCCGGGGAAGACAGGGATTGTGAGCAAGGACTCCCTCGCCCAGCGAGGGGGAGCGGTTGCTGCTCGGCCGAGCCCCCTCCCCACGCCCCCGTCCCGTGTAAAAAGCCTCCTTGTGCAATGGCCCCTTTTCCCTGTAATGACCGAGGTACCGATTTCTGCTAAGTTCTCCCAACAACATGAAACTGCCTATTCACGCCGTAATTCTTTCTGTCTCCCCTCCCTCTCTCTCTTTCTCTCTTTTTCTCTCTCTCTTTGCCCCCCCTCCTTCCTCATTTCCTCCTCCCACCCCCTCTGTCCCCGCTGCCCTACCTAGCTCGCTGGCTTTCTCTCTTGCTTCTCTCTTTCCTCCCCCCCCCCTTCTTTGATTTGACAATTTCGTCTTAAGTGTTTCTCAAAAGAGGTTACTTTAGTTAGCATGCGCGCTGTGGGCAATTGTTAAAAGTGTTCTTAGGTTTACTGTGAAGAGAATGTATCCTGTATCCGTGAATTGCTTTATTGGGGAGGGAGGGAGGGCTAATTATATATTTTGTTGTTCCTCTATACTTTGTTCTGTTGTCTGCGCCTGAAAAGGGCGGAAGAGTTACAATAAAGTTTACAAGCAAGAACCCGAGACTGGCCGGGCCTCGCTCCTCATTTGCTCCAGGCGCCTTCGACCCAGGGGCGCAGGGGGTGAGGGAGGCGGCTGCTGCGTGATTGGAGGAGAGAGGAACGAGGGAGGGGAGCCCAGAGAAACCCCCACCCTTTGCGTTCCGAGACTGCGTGGCCCTGGAGACCCCAGCCCTGGCCGAGCAGGAGAGACGCGCCGGGGCTGGTGGCTGTATCCTCACCACCTTCTCTCCTTTGTTTCTGGGTGCCCTCTGTGTGTGTGTGTGCAGGGGAGGGGGCGGAGGTGGAGTGCAGGGCTACTGAACAAGCTTATATTTTTTTATTTTTCCTGGAGTCTGATGGGGGGAACGGGAGGAGAGGCGAGAGGCTCGTGCCTGCCTCTCCCTCTGGGTCGTGGCCACCGAGGCCCAGCTCCGAGGTCTTGGCTCGCCGCCTTCCTTCCTTCGCTCCCTCCGCTTCTCGGGCAGCCGGGCAGCCGCTCGACGGAGGCATCCGCCTCCCGGAACCAGAAGAGCAGTGCACCGGGCTGCCCTCCTCCCTTCCTTTCTCTTCCCACACACCCCACCCCCCTTCCTTTAAAAAAAAAAACATTTTTAAGTTTTCAAACCTTTTTTTTTTAAGCCGCCAGAAAACGCAGCATCCAACACCCGTGGGCTGGATCCGGCGCCTCAAGGAACACCCACGAAGCCTGGCTCCTTCCCTGCCCTGTGCCCGGGGCGCCCAGAGAGCCTGCCGCCAGGCCCCCCGCGCTCCTCACTCAGGACCGGGCTGAGCCCCCCAAAGGCCCAGCCAGGCCGACCTGGCCCGGATTAATAAACACCTGGCTGGCCCACACCCACCCGCCCGTGGCGTGCAATCCCTGCATTTGTTTCTCGCTGGTGGCGGCCTGGGAAGGAAGGGGGGGGCGCCAACACGGGTGGCTCCCAGCTTATTTATTTCCCGGCCACTCCATGCCTTTCTCCCCACATCGCGCCGGCCAGCGGCCTCCGGCCCACGGGGGTCGACAGCGGCCCTGGAGCCCCCAGCCCCAACCCACAGAGCTTGTCTCCCCCATGCATTATTGATCATATTTTATAAATCCAACGCCACACAATTTTTTCCACATTACCGGAGCCGTGGGGAGGCGGCCCGGCCATTGGCGGAGGGGACGTCACGTGGGCGGGGTCACGTGGCCCGGGGAGGAAAAAGGGGGTCCTTTTTGGTGTAAATCTGGACTCTAATTCTGTAATATATCAAGGAATCTCGTAAAACCGACACTAAAACGTCCCTGCCTACAAATCATCCGGCCAAATTATGAGTTCATTGTATTATGCGAACGCTTTATTTTCTAAATATCCAGCCGCAAGTTCGGTTTTCGCCACCGGAGCCTTCCCCGAACAAACTTCTTGCGCGTTTGCTTCCAACCCCCCGCGCCCGGGCTATGGAGCGGGGTCGGGCGCCTCCTTCGCCG